AAAATTAAGAACCTACTAGACTGGCAACACTAATAGGAATTTATATTTTTATATTGATTTTTTTCCTCTAAACTAAATCCTACCATCCTAGTTAACATCTAGTTAAACCTTACTTTCCTAACATTTGTAATTAAACACTACAACCCTAACCCTACTGCCCTAGTTAAGCATATACAATTTTTTCCTACGGCGAGGGAGGCAGGGGAGTCTCTGTCAAAGCCCTATCTAAATTCTTTTCCTAACTAAATTAACCTAACTAATTTAGAGAGAGAGAGAGAGGAGGGGTGGGGGCTTACAGAGGATGGCTCCGGTGGGGGCGAGAGAGGCAGGGGCGTCTCCGGTGACGGCGTGGGAGGCAATTGTGGCGAGGGAGGATCCGGTGGCGTCAACTGCGGCTCCGGTGGTGTTGATGTGGCCGCACGGCTCCGGTGGCGTTGGGGGCGGCTCCGGTGGCGTCGACGACGCACGGCTCTGGTGGCTCCGGGGGCGTCGACGTCGGCAGGAGACGGCGGTGAAGTGGGGCGACGGTGAATCGGGCAGATGGCGGCGGGGTGGGTCGAGGAATTTGAGGGAGAAGTGGTGGCCGGGGCGAAATGGTTTTTTAGTTAAGTCAAACTTAGCGGTAGCACTTTTCGCGAAACGCGCTATAGCTAAGTTAGCTATAACGATTTTCACAAAACGCGCTACTACTGTAGCTATGTAATTCCCTTCATATTTCTTATTTCGTTTTCTATTTCTACAGCAGGGGTCTAGGAGACGCGCTGCAGCTACGTTAGCTATAGCGCCTCTTACGAACAAACGCTACTGCTACGCCTTTCTCCTTTTTTCGCTTTTTCATTTATTTTGCTCTACATTTTATTTTTTCCTTTCTCCTTTTTCTATTTATTTCTTTTTCATTTACTTTTCCATTTGTTTTTCATTTCATTTTATTTCCATTAGCAGTAGCGCTCTCCGCGCGAAACGCGCTGCTACTTATGTCCTAGCGGTAGCGCGCTTCTCTCAAGACCGCTACTGCTATGTGTAGCCTACGTTTTGGCAATGGGAATATTAGTTGTATCGCTTTTTCATGTACACGCGCTACTGCTACTATTGTATCTGTAGCGCGGTTTTCGCACGCGCGCTACTGCTACTTAGCACTAACGCCCGTTTTTGCCACGCGCTGCTGCTAAATTTCTGTGTATAAGGTTTTCCCTAGTAGTGCTAGGCCTTGTTTCCTATCATTGCAATACCGTTTATGCTCACTTTTATCATTAGTTACCTTGCTGTTTTTATATTTTCAGATTACAAATACCTTTATCTATCATCCATATACCACTTTTATCATCATCTCTTCGCCGAACTAGTGCACCTATACAATTTACTATTGTATTGGGTGTGTTATGGACACAAGAGACTCTTTGTTATTTGGTTGCAGGGTTGCTTGAGAGAGACCATCTTCATCCTACGCCTCCTACGGATTGATAAACCTTAGGTCATCCACTTGAGGGAAATTTGCTACTGTCCTACAAACCTCTGCACTTGGAGGCCCAACAACGTCTACAAGAAGAAGGTTGTGTAGTAGACATCAGCAGGCCGCCACCGATGGGGCTAGGTGGTGGCGATGGCTACTCCTCCTTGACGCGGCGTGGTGGTGGCGACTGTCGCTCCTCCATGACGCGGTGTGGCGGTGGCAACTACCGCTCCTCCTTCACGTGGTGTATGATTTGTATGCCGCGATTGCGTGGGGGAGAGGCGAGCGGGGTGGGAAAGAAGGTTTCGCCTTCACCCGTCCACAAGAAGGCGAATGCGGCCCCATCTTGACAGTGCAGAGAAGCAGCTCCAGTGGCGGCGCCGTACCATGGTCGTGGAGGAGCCAGCATAGTGAGGTGTGCCCTCTATCCTTTCCTATCAACTATCTCTGTTCTTGTCCCCGGGGAGTGACAAGCCGATAAAGCATGGCAATTCCATGGCATTTTGAGAAAATTTCATGGCAACTTTAGAGATTTGCTATGGCATTGTGCTGTTTAGAACATTTTTTATAGCAATTTTAGAGATAACTTTTCTTATAAATAGGCAAAATTTTGTAAATCAACATGGCACATGGCAATTTTCTGAAATTTCTGTTAGCTATGACATGTCAACCCCATGGCAATTTTAGAGATAATGTTACTATGCTGCTATTAGTATTATTTCCCATGGCAATTTTAGCGAGTTCCTTCGAAACTGATGTTTAGTACCGTTTCCATGGCAATTTCATAGATTATATGCTAAGAAAATGGCAAATCATTGTAAAGCAACATGGCACATTTTAAACATTTGGCATGACATTTTTCTGAATTTTTCGTTACTAGAACATGATAGTTTTTCTTTTTGAAATTTGTGTTTTTCTGGCCATGTCAATTTTAAGAAATTTTTTATTCTTCAACATGGAAAAAAGTGGTATGACAGTAGCTTCTCAAACAACCAGTTTTAGGCACCTCAACTCTTTGTTTTGTACTTGTATACATGACAACAGCTTCTCCAATCAAAAACAAATTCTCAGTGCTCTATATACATGCCATCATTTTCGGTGCTAGGTTTGCATGGTAGAGAACACATGACGTCTTTTACGTGTTTTGTAAATCATGTTTTTTTATAGATTATTTGTTTCTGCTCGCATGGCAAATTTGAAATGGTGGGGACCTTTTCTAGCATGGCAAGTTTGAGAATTTTTTGTTATGTTTTTAACATAGCAAGTTCATAAAAAATGGTTTTCTTAATCTCTCTCTCTACATCATTGCATTTTTATTTGCAAGAGCATGCCAATTTTATTATAAAGAGCATGGCATTTTTATTTGTTGTCATTTTTATTATAAAGAGCATGTCATTTTTTGGTAGAAGCATGGCATTTTTATTATAAAGAGCATGCCATTTTTAATTAAAAATATCATTTAATTATAACTAGCATGTCTTTTTTATTATAAAGAGGATGCCATTTTTATTGTAGAAGCAAGAAATTTTTAGAATAAAGAGCATGTCATTTTTTCAGTATAAAGAGGTTGACATTTTTAGTGTAGAAGCATGCCAATTTCTTTTTCTAAGAGCATGACATTTTTTTGCGGGGTGCATGACATATTTTCTTGTGAGCAATGACATTTTTATTTTGAAGAGCGTGGCAATTTAAAAGCATGTCATCCATGGCTTTTCTAGAGCATGGCACTTTTTAAAATATTTTTAGTGTATGGCACTTTATGACAAAGAGAAATTTAGAGCATGGCATTTATAATATTTTTATCACCACTTTTTTATTCTTAGTTTCATGGCATTTTTATTATTCTCAATCATGGCATTTTTTCATTCGTTTTTTTACATTTCATATTTAATCATTTATTGTCGAAATACCAAAAAACTTGTTGTCATGACAACTAACTAGATATGGTGATGGATAGAACATGGCCTTTTTTGTGTTGTTTAACTGTTTAAAATGAGGTAAAAAACAATGAATAATGAATAAAATGAGGTAAAAAAAAACATCAGCATTTAAGGTTTGGTAATGTGTCACAACAAAACGTTTTGTTTTGGCCCAACTGTAGGTTGGAGGGATTTCCACCCGCAAACGTTTTCATTCGCTCGTACATCTCGTACATAAATAATCTGGCGAACCAAACGTGTGCGTGAAGGCCGCCTGGGAGCTATATGTGAAACGTGTTCACTTTTCTTTCGTCGTTGCCCTCTGTTGGCTCCCCTCCACCGACGACCTCGGTCGTCAATGATGAGGGGGGGGGGGTTCTTTCGGCAATGGTGGCATTGAATAAAGATTCTTCAGATTCTGCTTTTGACGAGGCGATCAGTCATATGATCGAGGATGAATTTGAAAACCAATCTGTTCAAGCAAGAATGGCATGGCAGCGGCATCCTTGTGGTGGACCTGTGTCCTTGGGCTCTGCTGTTGCGATGACGTTTGCTCCAGTGCCGCACACGGAGGTTGAGACAGGGAGGTAGTCCGGGAGCAAATGCAGATTGTGGTCTGCATTGGCGGAATCTGGAAGATGATGGATCGTGTGTTGGTTCATGGTTCGTGGATGACAGGTATGGTTTCTCCTTCGATGTCTTAGTCATGTGGGGTGTCAGATCTAAAATTCGATGACGTGTCCGGGGTGTAGCCCCGATCTGATCCGTTCAACAGTAATGACTCGTCTTTGACGAACCACCTTAGAGGTCCGCAAAGCTACTTATCAGCAACGGAGCCACCTCGAGTTTGGGTGTAGAGGTGATTAGTCATTTTTTTCCTTTAGTGGTGTCAGAGGCTGGTGACGAACGTCGGTGTCAAGCTCAGAAGATTCTTCAGTCTCGTTTGTAATTTTATTTCTTGGCTGATGTTTCTTTATGCAAAAGCTGGTATTATGTCTATCTTTATCAGTTTTGACAGGTCAATCCGTAACCGATTTGTATTATGATTTTATGATTCTTATGATATTAACGAGACCCATATTACCATTAAAAAAGGTCGTTAGGGTGCTGACGGCAGCAGATATTTGGGTCCAAACAATTCTATCAAAGTGACATTTACTTTGTTTTGACAATTTATCAAGCCTCTTGGTCCTGAATATCAGAATAGGACCAACGAACCAGCCTCCGCGTATATCTTTACTTCGGAACAAAACCATGATTGTCCCAAGGGCGCCATATTCTAGGAGGGGAGTTTTAGTCAATTGGAAAACAGTTGACACCACAAAAAAAAAACACTTGGCACCTCTTGACCGGGTGAACTATGTAAGAATTTTTTTTGAGGACTTTTATTCCAAAGTCCTGCCTTGATAACTATGCAAGAATTAACCGGATTACGAGACAATCCCTCTTGACCCCTGTCAGCAAGCCCCTGGGCGGTCAACTCCAGAAGCAGATAGCAGAGAGGAGCCGCAAGGGAGTGCCCAGATCTGGAGGAGTACATACACCAGAGCTTAAGCACCGCACAGGGGTGAGTGGGCCCTCCCTTGGGCCGTCGGCGGCTAGCCGGAGCCGGGGGGAGGGGAGTGGAGAAGATGGAGATTGTGGCCACGACTTTTGTCGGTCGGATCGCACTGAAGCTCTTCGCGTTTCTAGATGAAAATTACAGGCTACGGCGGAACCTGGAGCATGACATCCAGCGCATCCGGATGGAGCTGGACATGATCGACGCCGCCATCCACGACCACGACGACCGTCGCTCGAGCAACCAGGTGCAGACCGCCTGGATACAGCTCGCGCGCGAGCTGGGCCACAGCATCGACGACTGCATCGACCGCTTTTCCCACCGCCTGGCCAAGGACGCCGCCGCGTCGCCGCTCCGCAAGACCGTCAGCAGGCTGAAGACGGCGCCGATCCGCACGGGGTTCGCCGCCGAGATCCGGAAGATCAGGAAGATATCGGAAGAGGTGTCCAAGCTGCGGGAGAGCTACGGCGGCGGCGAACCCAGCGCCTCGGAGGCGTCCGCATCGGGCGCCCTCTCAGAGGAGGTGCACGCACTTGCATCTGACCTCGTGGGTATGGATGAGCCCCGCGACGAGCTTCTGGAGCTGGTAAGGGAAACTGAGGGCCAGCCTAAACAGCTCAAGGTGATCTCAATTGTTGGCTTCGGAGGTTCGGGGAAGACTCTTCTTGCGAGAGAGGTGTACGAGAGTGACACCGTGGTCTGCCAGTACAAAGCACGGGCTTGGGTTCGTGCGGCGGACAAAGGCGCGGTGTGTGTTCTCCAGGAGATCCTCGAGGAGCTTGGCATGCAGGTAACCGGGGATGCCAGGAAGCTCACCACACATCTCAGAAAATGCCTCGAGCCAAAGGGGTGAGCCTACTAGAGAAATCCCTTTTCTCTCAGATTTTTTCTACTTCACTGATTGTTTTTGTTTCTGTATGAACAATGGATGTCCTCTGCTGACTTGTTAATTGTTATTTCCGTTCTTTGATTTGCCCTGCTGACCAGGTTCTTCATTGTTATTGATGACATGAGAACGGAACTTTGGAACACCATGAAAAATTATTTCCCTGCAGTGATGGGAGTGAGCAGCAGAGTGGTGGTCACCACGCCCATTCAGTACATAGCAAATGCCTGCAGCTCTGCTCACGGTCATGTGTACGCAATGAGAACTCTTAGCGAGGATCTCTCAAGACAGTTGTTCCTCAAAGAAGCTTCCTTGGAGGATTCATCGCCTAGTAATGAGCTTGGTTCAGAAGCACTAAAGAAATGCGATGGTCTGCCACTCGCTCTCGTTACCACAGCCCAATTCTTGCAGAGTCGAGGTGATCCGACACGGACAGAGTGGGCAAGGCTGTGCAGCAACTTGGGTGAACATCTGGAAACGGAGGACACCTTAGCGAGAATGAAGCACGTGGTTCGCCACAGCTATGCCGGTCTTCCTGACCATTTTATCAAGACATTCTTGCTATATCTGGGAATTTTCCCGCGTGATCGCCCAGTGAGAAGAGAAAGGCTAATAAGGCGATGGCTTATTTGGAGGGGATGCTGAACTCGCTACGTGCTATTTCAAGAAGCTGATCGACCACAGTATCATTCGGCCTATTGATTGGAGCAGCAACGCAGAGGTGAAGACGTGCCAAACTCACGGCATGATGCTCGAGTTCATCCTACACAAGTCCAGATGTGAGAACTTCGTTACCTTGTCACATGATCAGGCACGCCTAACCGGTAAGGCCCGTTGGCTTTCTCTGCATCATAAAAGAGCTGGGCAGGCTAGGATGAGTCCAGAGGATTTACCCTTTGTTCGGTCTCTAACAGTCTTTGGCAAGGCACACAAATCTGTTTTGGATTTCTCCAAGTACGAACTGCTGCGAGTTTTGGATCTGGAAGAATGTGAGGATGAATTGGGTGACAAGCATCTCAGAGAGATATGCAACCTACTGCTACTTAGGTACCTAAGCCTTGGTGGCCCCATTTCAGTGCTTCCCAAGGAGATTGCAAAGCTAAAACTTTTGGAGACACTTGATATAACAAGAACCAAGATAGAGATTCTGCCTATACAAGTCATCGAGCTCCCGAGATTGATTCATCTGTTTGGAAGGTTCAAACTTGAAGATGCAAGTCAGAGAATAAGTAAGCTGAAGAACTTCCTTTCAGAAAAAAGTAACTTGCAGACGCTATCAGGATTTGTTGCTGACAAAGGATTTGCACAACTCATGGATCATATGAATAACTTGACAAAGGTGAAAATATGCTGTGAATCCACTATGGATGTCAGCAACATAACTCATCTTTCCAAGTCAATTAACGGGTTCATCCAGAGAGGCACTCATGCGAGTGACAATCGTTCACTCTCACTGAATTTCAACAAATGGTCCGAAGACTTGCTGAGTTTTTCCTTGGAAAAAACATGCTTTCTCAGTAAACTGAAGCTAAAAGGCAACATCTTGAGTTTACCTCCATTTGTTACCACGTTGGCTGGTCTCACCGAGCTGTCTCTTTCATCCCTCGGCAAGTTCACTGGGGATATACTTGCTGCTGTAAGCATAGTGCGCTCCTTGCAGTACCTGAAGCTGGTAGCAAGTCACATGGACAAGTTTGTCATAAGAAAGGGGCAGCTCAATATACTACTACGCCTGTGCATCGTGGTGCAATCCATGGAAGACCTAGAAATCGAAGAGGATGCGCTTCCGTGTTTGGAGTCCCTCCAGCTGCTCTCTAAGGATTTAGATGGTTTTGGTGGCATAAGAATGGAATTCCTTGGACGTCTCAAGGAGGTGGCTCTCGACGATGGAGTGAGCGACGAAGCAAAACAGGAGTGGGAAGAAGCAGCAAAGAAACACCCGAGACGACCCAAAGTCTTGTTTGTGAAAACAATGTGAGTCAGAAGCTGATCATCAGATGCAGACGGGAGGAATGGAGCCTGCTGAGACTCCTGCAACACTAGCTCCCCGACATGACGCCCAGGTGCACCTGCTTAACCAGGGAGCTGAGCAGACTGTGGCGCAGGTGCAGCCAACTCCCAACCCCATACTTGTTCGTGGCCAGTGAGGCACAAGTTCGGAGTGTTCGGTCACTTACTCCTTTTGGATTTATTTGAGAATCGAGAGTATGCCTTCTATTTCGGCAGCATAAGGTTCGTTGGCAAGCTAAACAACCTGCGATATCTTCATCTGACCTGTTCTGTACCATCTTCAGACCATCTGAAGAGAAGCATGGAAGCTCTGGGCTCTCTACTCTCAGAACATGGCAACCTAAAAACTCTAGCTCTGGTTAATGACCCATGTCATAGAAATGTTGTGGTTCGCAGTGCTTGAAAGTGGCTGTCTCCTGGGATGGCTTAGTACCTCCCCCACTTCTCAAGGTGTTTGATTGGTCGCTACACAGCGGTATACTGTCTTGTATTCTGAAGTGGATAGGAAAACTTGGGAAGCACCGCATTTTGAAGATTGCAGTAAGGGAACTTCCGAGGGATGGTATTGCTGCTCTCACCGCTCTATCCTTGTATTTGCATACGGCTACTGTTGAAAGGATTGTCTTTGACAAGGTGGAATTCTGAATTCTCAACTTCGTGAAGCTCAGGCGCAGTCGGCGAACGCAATGCCTAATCTCTGGAAGCTCAAGCCAGGTTCAATGCCCTGGTGGTTTCATCCGCATGGCACTAGTGTTATGATGTGATTTAATGACCAACTTCATTGTTGTGCAATGCCCTCATGGTCTGGGTTGTTTTGACTATGTATTGTCTGTAAGGCCTGTTTTGCAATATGTGAGCTTTAAATTTCTTCGTGATATGGAAGGACTGTTCCTTTTAATCCTTTTCTATTTCAGATAATTCTTCCTATTGAAAAGAGTAAAGAAAATTGGTTTAACCGCAAGCATTGCAATGTAGCCAGTTGAGTTGAGACCACAAAAATCGATGGGGTGGCCTGAAGATTGACTGACCACTGGTGGTATGTGGTAACCGGTAAGTCCCCTTAAGATATTTTAGAATAAGAATAATATCTTTTTTTTTGCGGGGAAGAATAAGAATAATATCAAGGCATGCTAGTATTTCTTAAGGTTAATTAAGTGCAAATTTAATGAACTGTAACATTGCCGGGATTCAGTTTACAATGCAAAACTAAACTAGAATTTTCAAGGGTGTGTACAAAATCACATCTAAATAAGAACCGAAACTACAAGGCATGGCAATGGCCATGGACCAGACTCGTCTGGCTCGTCAAGCGGTGAATGCTTGTTTGGCTCGAACTTGGTATTCACAACAGTCCTTAAAGAGGGGGCTCCTACAACTTGTTCCCCCGCCGGCCCACCCTGGATGGACACTCATTGGTGTGGTTTGACACATATTCCTAACACCACCCATTCCTATTCCCGATAGTACTACCTTTTCTGATGACTCAAATCTGGCTTTCATACTGCTCTGGAATTTTGGTGGCTCATGCCTGGAGAAGTGATCAGGAGAGTTTTTTTTTTAGAAAAGGAGGATGACCCCCGGCCTCTGCATCTGGAAGATGCATACGGCCACTTTATTGATTATTCTCGAGGACCTTACAAAGTATTAAAAACAATATATCTGAATCCACCATTTTGGCAACATATGCCGCTACTCCTATCCATATGATGAAGGAATGCTAACTGGGTCACTACCCAAACCACCCGCCTAAGCCTAACATCAAAAGCCGGAAGCCCCAGCCGAGCCACATACCGGGTCTAGGGCACAATCCGATCAGACGCACTCGTGTGTCGTCGCCGCCATCTTCCACAGGTCCGTCTTCAGATTATATTGAGGCTTCTACCTTGTCTGGCCACTCTGCCATCGACGTCACCATGACGCCAGACAGCTACCTCCTCCTGCGCGAGTCCATCTCCGCGCATCGGACGCCGAGCCTCCACAGCGCCATGCCGCCGATCTCCGTCGCCATCAATGTGTGAGATGAAGTACTGCTCCACCATCCCCCTAGCCATCACTTGCTCCAAAACGATGCCCCGGGGAGGGAAAGCGATAAAACGCCATCATCGTCTGATCCGGAAGACCCAGATCTAGGGTTTCCCTCGGAGCATCCCAAGCCTAATGACGCAGACTGCAACGACGATGCCTCGACAAGGGAACGACATCTAAGACGCCATCATCGTCCGCCATGACCGTAGTCGGCGCGATTTTCATTAGCAGTTGCTCCACCAGACGTGCGCCATCGACGTCGCTGATCCCTTCAACCGGAGTAAACTCCAAAACAATGCCCTAAAGAGGGACTACGACGCAAAATCGCCGTCATCGCTTGATCCCAAGGAGATCTAGGGTTTCCCCCGGAGATGCCCGCGCTGTCAAGGATCAGACAAGGGTAGAATCCCGACGGATCTGCCCAGCTGCCGACGAGTCGCACCCGTCAGCGTGCCGACGGCAGACTAGCGATCAAGGCCCACGCTTGGGCATAGATCCGGCCGCGCCGCCGCAAACTGATCCGGCCGCGCCGCCGCGAACCGATCCGGTCACGCCGCCGCCGTCCCTGGCGACTGCGACGCACCAAATCGCGAGGCCTCCTGCCGTGGGGTAGCGAAGTCGCCGAGGCGCCACCACCACCCGTCATGGCATCCGGCCCGCCGCCACGCTCCGGCCCGGGGGCGCCGGCCCGCACCAGCCCCACGCGAGCGAGAGGGCCCGAGTCCCCGCCGCCGCCGGCGACGACCAGGCTTCGCTTGGCCGCGCCCTTGGGCGGCGGCGAGGGAGGAGGAGGAGGAGTGGGGGAGGGCCAGCCGACGGGATCTGGGGGCCTCCCGGCCGCCAACGCGGGGGGCGACTCGGGAGGGGAGAGGAGAGGGGTCCCACCAGTGACCAGGAGAGTACTCTACTCTGCATACATAAAAAATAAAAACTGGTGAACTTAGCTTTCATTTATAGTTTTACAGAACTCAAATATATTGCTCATTGCCTCACTTGCCAATAATTGTTTCATTGCACACATCCCTGCCTCTGTACTTTGGATTGTTCAGACATAAATTAAAGTTATCAGAAAAGGAGATATCGGCTCCAATGCAATGCAGCCACACATGCCTCTAGCAGCACTAGTAATAGTAGTGATCTAAATGCTTGTAGCGACCCGACCTCGGACGGTCAAGTCTCTGTGCTTAAGTGTCATCCCTTGATCGGTATTGCTGACACACATAGGACTCGAGGTTTTATAACAAAGTTCAATCACACACTTATTACATCGAATGTCTCAAAAAGAACTTATTACATTAATATGGCCGAAGGCCATCTAAATAAGATAATAGGGGAAGCTTTCGAAGGTAGAATAGTCCATCCAACTCCACGGCAAAACTGAGTGCATGACAACGACCTAGCGCACCTTACTCTTTGTCTGAAAAATTTGCAACATAATACGTTGCAGCCTGTGTAGGTCAGCACATAGAATATGCTAGCAAGACAACACTGTAGAGCAATGAACAAATAACAGCTATAACTACATGCATATATGGCTGGTGGAGGCTCTATAGTTATCATTTGCAGAAAGCTAATTTTTTCCTACAACAAAGGAATATACTTTATTTAACTACCAAATTTGTTGAAAACATTGAGAATGGTAACCCCATCTCAATCCCAATTAAAAGTTAATAACCCGACAAAATTAATTAAGTAAAGTGATAAGAGATCAACATAATAATTCAAGTATCAGATACTCAAGATGTCCATAACTAGGGACACGACTAACCATGATTAGTTTGTACACTCTGCAGAGGTTTGCACACTTTTTTCCATAAGACTCAATATCCTTCATTGTATTTCTCGCACTACATGATGTTTGAGAAACGGATGACCAAGACACAGTATTTCAAAAGCATTAACTCTTTACAACGGGTAGACCATACCACCTACATCCCCTACATCTGCTAGTCTACCACTAAAAGAGGTCACACAACATACTTAACTATGCCAGAGCCCATAATGGCTTGTGGCTGCACACGGAAGTTTTCAGCATGAATAACATAATGATCCCTTTGAGACCGGGTGGCAAACCATAGGATGACCACACAGATTCCTGGGATCTCCTTTGAACAACACTGGATTCCCTAGGTGCCCACAAACCAATCCACTCAGATGTGTATTAAAGTAGCCACCTTAAGTTAAACCTTAGTAAACAATAACTCTCACAACTTACATGAATACTCTCAAAACCCAAACCACGTCTACGAGCATAGCATAGCAGTATAATCATAACGTAGAACTCCGAGGGTTTAAATAAAAGGGCAATAGGTTCCTACGTCATCATCTACTTCCCAAAACCCACATGTTAAAGAAGCCCTACTCATGCAATGTTTGAGGGTTGAAACTAATGCACAAAAACTAGGTAATAACAGAGTATGATCAAAGTGTTACTTGTCTTGTTGACGATCTGAAAACCCTAGTGACTCATAGTAGCAAGCCTCGCACTCCAGAAACTCTATCGTGAACAATAGCATACATAAGCACTCAAACATAAGATGCAAGGGTAAAACTCAAGAGAAAAGATCTAAACTGAAAGTTCAACTGAAGAACTTTAATTTGCAAAAAGAATCAATCGAATCGGAGCTACGAAACTCAAACTACGATCAAAAGAAGTTCGAATTCAAATCTGCTTGAAACCAAATTTTAAATTATCAAACCATGTTCAAGTTGATTATCTGGAAAGAGGGGAACAAGACGAGAATTTTGGCATTGGTTTCACTGGATTTGGATAAACGAGTAAAAAGTAGCGAGGGTTTGAAGTTTAGGGACTAATTTGTGATATAAGTATTTGCGGATAGGTCCCTGGCCGAAAATAAAACAGAAAAAGAAAAATCTATCGGACGAACGTCCGCTAACAGAACTAAACGAACGAGTTCGTTCGTTAACAAAAACTAACCGATG